GAGAACCCCATGTTCTTTTCTCTTCCATCTGAAACAGTTAGTTTACATAAATCTAGTGAATAAAGACATGCCATAAATCGGAATATTTCTGTATATACATACATTTTAGAAATAATTAAAAGCAAAACCAAACCTGCCCCAATGGGTGTTGAATTTTGCTGCTGGAAAGAACCCTATGCTATTTGGACTTGGCACATTTCTTCTGCTGGCTGTGGTATCGTAGGTTCCTCCTCAGTTTCCCCTCCTGGCTGTTACCCCCTCCTCATACACACACAGCTTGGTTCTCCAGAGAGCCAACCACCCCCAGACATAAGGCACTCTAGGTTCTTATTCCTAAAACTATATAGCTCATGACCTCCCCCTGCCCCCATCCCTGCACATTTTTTATAGTCTGCCAATAGATATAATTTGTTATTGTTCAATTATTTCAGTCTTGTCTGACTCTTCTTGACCCCATTTGGGGTTTTCTTGGCAGAGATACTGGAGTGGTTTGCCATTTCCCTCTCCAGCTCATTTTATAGGTGAGAAAACTGAGGCAAAAAGGGTTAAGTGACTTGCCCAAGGTCATACAGCTAGTAAGTGTCTGAGGCCAGGCTTGAACTCATGAAGATGAGTCTTCCTGGCTCCTGTCCCAGCACTCTGTACACTGTATTGTATACACCCAGTACACACGGTACCACCCAGCTCCTAATAGATAGAATTAGCTCAAAGCAAAGGCATTTTCAGAGACAACATCATAGGAACAAAACATCACCCCATAGATCTGGGGTGTGCTCTGCTCTGATGACTTTCAGAGTCAGTGGGAAGAGCGAGCTCTCACAAAGAGTGTGCCGGTGACAGGCAGACACTCGTAGACAGCCCACATGGGCCGTGTGACTCATTCCTCAGGCACAGCAGAGCCACGATGGCCTCTCTGCTTCAGGGAGCCCCACACTGCTCCCCCTGGGTGTAGCACTTTGACTGAGCAGGTCATTCAGCTAAGCTACCTGGACCTTCTTCACATCTCACCTCCCAACTGCCAGGGTGAATTCTCTTGAATTCCTAGCTGGCTTTCTTCTCTCCTGCCAAAGATCACACCCTTCACGGCCACCTCCTGTCTCGACTCTCTCCTGGGCCCTGCTCCCCCCACATGCCATGATTTCATCAATTAGGCCAAGGAAGGGGGCTTCCTGATGAGCGACCATCACTACTTTGTGATTTAATGGAGGTAGCCAGGTTCTTTGGACATCCCCCATTACAATGCCTGCACCTTTATGGGGGGGTGGGGTGTAGGATAGCAATACTCTTTTGGATAGCACTTTAGGGGGAATAATAGTCTTCTGAGAATAAAACACCTATTAAGGTGGGGTAAGGTCTTAGGAAGGGGACCAAGGCCTGGAAGGAGAGGGGCCTGCTTTGATCAGACCACATCCAGAACATCATATTCCATTTTAGGTGCCACATCTGACAAGGGGCATTGATTAAACACATCCAGAGGAGGAAAACCAGGGAGGCAAAGGAAGTCTAAAATACATTTGGACATGAATCAGCTGAAGTAATCAGGAATATATACTTCAGAAAAGGGAAGACTTAAGAGAAACCTCAGAGAGGCGTCTCCAAGAGTTTGGGGAAGTGCTTTGTTTGACTCCAGAAGGCAGAAGCAAAGTGAAGAGTGGAAGTGGTGGATTTAAGTTTGATATTGGGGAGAAAAAACCCCAAAGAACTTCCTAATAATTAGAACTGCTCAGAGGACTTTGGAGTCAGACGTGAGTTTGAACCCTGGCTCTCCCCATTACTGCTTGTGAATCTGGGCAAAACACTCATCCTCCCTGGTCCTCAGTTTCCTCATCTGTGATCTTCCCTTCCTCCCTTTCCCCCAAAAAAGAATAAACAAAGGGGATTTGAACAGAATACTTGATTCTCTGACCAGGCTTTATGGGCATAGAGCCTCCAAAGCTCTGAAAAATCTGGGATCTCAACCACGAAGGTACCTTTGGTCCACAGATGCTGTTCACTAGCCATCTTGCCAAACACCAATGTAAGCTAGCTTTCACAGCAAGAAAGCACAATGTTCAAACGTTTTAGTTTAATTTACACTTCCACTGTGAAGGATGGTAGCCAATTGATGGCTCGAGTAAAATCCTGTCCCCTAATTATAGGAAGGGGGAAGGGTGGTGTGGTAGAGCAATGGATATTTAGAAGGAAGAAAATCTAGGAGCCAGAGTGGTAAAGGCTTTTTTGACTGGGTCGGTGGTGCAATTTTGACATCAGAGTATGTTACAGGACCACCTGACCAGAAAGAGGAAATGGTTTAGGAACTAGATCACAAGTCTGGCACTGAGGCATGCTATCAATAGTGACGGTCAGGAGATTTCAATTGTCCAGACATCTGCTGGAGTAATCTCACATGAATCTCATGATCTCTCTCCCTCCCTCCCTCTCTCTTATCTCTCTCCTCATCAAATTTACGATGACTCAAAGTTAAGAGGAATCATTAAGATTGTTTGAATTAGAGGTGTACTGGTAAATGTTTAACAACTAGTTCTCAAAAAAAAATGTACACATGCATTTTTTAAGTTTAATCTGTATCGTTAACGTTTTATTCATCCCTTTCTTAAATCTAGACAACAACAAACAAATCAAGCCTAGCTTTGTAGCATTTGCCTGTTGGTGTAATATTCATACTGAAAATTCAACAATTGGCCCTTGAGAGCTGGTTCGAGCTGGCTCCAGCACGCCTCTGGTTAGAATCGAAAAGGATCTAGATAGCCAAGAATGTTGTGCTGAATATAAAAAGATTTAATTCAATAGATGCACATTTAAAGTCTTATATTTGGGTTCAAAAAATCAATTCACATGTACAAGATGGGAAGGCAGAGTTAGATGACATTTTGCCTGAAATGAGATCTGGGGAGTTTCAGTGGACTGCAAGCTCAGTATGAGTCAGCAGGATGAGATGGCAACCTAGGGCTGCTGATGGGACTTTGGGCTTCCTGGAGAGGCAGAGCTTACAGGAGTGAGAATGTGCTGGTGTTGTTGTTCAGTCACGTCTAACTCTCCGTGACCCCATTTGGGGTTTCTCGGCAAAGATCCTGCAGTAATTTGTCATTTCCTTCTCCAGATGAAAGAACTGAGGCAAGCAGGATTAAGTGACTTGCCCAGGGTCACTTAGCTAGGAAGTGTCTGAGGCTGGATTTGAATTCGGGTCTTGCTGACTCCAGGGCCTGCACTCCATACACTGCGCCACCTAGCTGCCAGAGGATGTGATAGTTCTGCTGTATTCTATCCCAGTCAGACCACATATAGAACCCTGTGTTCAATTCTGGGTACCATAGTTTAATAATAAGCTCTAATAAGCATTGATAAGCTTTGGAGCAACCATAATAGCAGAGAACTTTGAGTACAATCCATAACAATCAACCACTCAACAAGCATTTATTAAGTGCCTACTATATGCTAGACAGGGTGGCTAGGTGGTACAGTGGGTAGATCCCTGGGCCTCAAGTCAGGAAGACTCAGATTCCTGAGTTCAAATCCAGCCTCAGAAATTTACTGGCTGTGTGACCCTGAGCAAGTCACTTCACCCTATTTGCCTCAGTTTCCTCATCTGTAAAGTGAGTTGGAAAAGGAAATAACAAACCACTACAGTATCTTTGCTGAGAAAACCCCAAATGGGGCCATAAAGAATTGCACACGACGGAAAAATGACTGAACAACAAAGAAGAGGCAGAGGTGAAGGAGAAGTGCGTTTCAGGCACTGAGGGCTGGCCAGGGCAAAGGTGTAGGCAAGAGGTAAAGCGCCACATGTGATGCACGGAAGGAAGGCTGATATGGCTGGACTGAAGCACGTGGCTAGAAGAATAATGTCCAATAAGACGGGAAAGATAGGATGGATGGAGGGCAAATTGTGAAGGTCTTTAAAAGCCCAAGAGATGAGTAGACATGTGATCCCAGAGTCTGAAGTGGTGGGTTGTTTTTCATTGACATGGCTAGTTTTGAACTTATGGAAAATCACTCTGGCAGCTGTGTGGGAGAGGGATGGGAGTAGGGAGGTCCTCTAGGCAGGGAGGCTGATGGGAAGGCTGCCACAACAGTCAAAAGGTGGGAGCTAATCAGGCGGTGAGGATCAGCTGTCAGATGGGGAGCTCTTTAGAGGTTTGGGATTTAACTGGCTGGCCACTAGAGTCTCTTTCAAAGCTGAAATCCCGTGATTCTGTGAAGATGTATGTCAGGCCATGTCACACAGGATGGATACATGCGTGGCATGGCCCTAGAAGCAGAGTTGAGCACACTTCCTGACTCTAGACTTACATCTCCATCCACCGCGCCCCCTAGCTGCCAAGGACAGCAATAAAAGGGGCTTTTAAGGCTGTCTTAGGGAAAGAGAAGTATCAGAGAAAGGAAGGGGTCGATGCTTAGGGTGGATGGGACGGCGAGGGGCAGGCGCCAACAGAAAGCAGTTGCTCAATTTTATTTTGCTTCTCCTTTCTTGGCCAAGGATGAGAAGGGATAAAACAAAATCCTAATTAAGGAGTGGACATCCAATATAACAAAGGAGACAATAAGAGGGCAGCCCCTGGGGAGTTCCTCTGACCTGGCCCAGGTGAACCGGTCCTGAAAGTACTGGGAGGCACGATTTCGGAGCCACTATCTGTGTTATCTGAGAGACTGTGGAGAGCGAGAGAGTCACTACAAGATTGCAGAAGGGCGTGGATAGATTTAAATACTGACCCAGTTTCTATGCTTGCTAAAAATCCTACCAAGCAGCGAAAATAATTTCTCACAATGATTCCCATACAACATACCTGTATATGACTAACATCAAGCCAATCCATGCAGTGGCCTCCCTTGGGACTGTGGGGCCCTCTGCCAGGGGAACTTCAGACAGTTCCTCCTTTGCAGTCCTTGTTTTCTACCCCCAAGGTCGGTGGCTCAGGGCTACGGTACATTAGACTTTTTCCTTGGCCCAGTGATCAATCAGGGCTGCCAGATGCAGGCTAGCTGGCCCGATGTTGGCCAAAACTCCCCTACATCTTGGAGTAGAGCCAGAGCTATAGTCCAAGCTGGGGACAAGGTCGGACCTTCTTTCCATGACCTTCTCCGGCCACTAAGGCCATTCACCAGGGAGTGGTCACCTGAAACCAACAATATTCAAAGCTGGAACTCGAGGTGTGGCCTCTGTTCCTTTAAGCCCCGGTCTTCTTGAGCTCTGGCTGAATCCCCAGATAAGCCAAGTAACAAAAGATGGAAGGAGGCTGGCCCCACCAGGAGAGATGGCTACTGTGTCTCCTTCTCAGCCTTTTGCTTCAAGGTAAGTTGGGGTCAAGTATATGACATAGGATCGTAGATTTAGAAATGAAAGGGAACTCCAGTCCAGTCGCCTCATTTTACAGAGGCCCGGGAGGTTAAGCTCATAGGATCATAAGACCTTAGATTTCGAGCTGGAAGAGACCTCACATTTTACGAGTGAGGAACCCAAAGTTCAAGGAGATTAAGTAAGTGCTCAAAGTCACACATATGGTAAGCATCAAAGGCAGGATTTGAACCCAGGACCTCTGACTCAAGTGCCAATGCTCTTGGTGTTATAGCTAGGAGGAGCTGCTGGGGAACATCTAGGGGGCTCCCTCAGCACCGGGTCAAGGGGCTTACTTAGAATCGGCACGACATTTTCCCCACAAATGCTCTGAATTAATGCCTGGCCTAAACTTCCCTCCTGTAAAAAGAAGAAAACCTGGAACAGTAACGATAACAGAGGCTTCTCTGAGGCCTTAGGGATTTTAAAGCACTTTCCTCACAATCATCCTGGGAGTGAGGGAAGGGGTAGAAATATGATCCTGTCCATTTTACAAATGAGGAGACTAAGGCTTGGCTGTTGCTTTAATCCGCAGAGGGCTCCTGAGCAGAGACCTTCAAGCAAAGGCCAGATGACCTTTGGAATCAGAGAGCCAGAGGCAGAAAGGTCCTCAGAGGCCACCTAGCCTGACCCCTTCATTTTACAGATAAAGAAACTGAGGCACAGGGAGGATCAGAGACTTGCCTGAGTTCATACAGCAAGCAAGAGCTGCAAGTATGATTCGAACCCAGCTCCTTGCACTTCCAGCACACAACCTTCCCACACTGCCACGCCCTCACGGGCACAGAAGTGACGAGTGTGAGGAGGGCTGAGACTCAGGCCTCCAGCCTATCCTTTCTCACTAGGCCTCCTTGCTTCCCCCCCGGGGAACCAGGGGCAGCTACACAGTCTAACGAAGGGGAAGGTCAGGAAAAGCCTTTTGTATGTGGGGCAGTGAGACAGCTGTGGCTTAGTGTTTAGAGCGCTGGCCCTGGAGTCAGGAAGACATCAGTTCAAGTCCAACCTCAGACACTTACTAGCTATGTGACCCTGAACAGGTCACTTCACTTTGTGTGCCTCGGTTTCCTCATCTCTAAAATGTGGATAATAAAAGCACCTACCACTCAGGGTTGTCATGAAGATCAAACAAGAGTCTATTTGTAAAGTACTTTGCCCACTTTAAAATGCTAAGGGCTAACTATTTTTCTTTTTGACATGAATTTTTTATAAAATTTTGAGTTCCAAATTTTCTCCCTCCCTCTTTCTCCTCCCCCTTCCCTAAGACAGTACGCAATTTGATCTGGGTTATATACGTGCAATCATGTAAGACCCAGGGCTAGTCTTATAATCACCCTCCGACCTCTCCGATCTCTTGCCCACACGTACGCTGGCTCCCTCGGCTCACTTTACATTTAGGGGCCTCTCCTCTTGCATCCTTTTGTCCGCACACACCTAGAGCTCTCTCCAGGTATGGTCTATCCCCACAGTGGCCAACTTACGATAACCCTCACTTGTCCCAGATGCTCTTACAGACTAATTCTAAGGGTCAGTCAGTCCACACACATTTATAAAGTACATACTATGTGCCAGGCACTGTGTGGGATACAAAGAAAGGCAAAAGACAGTCCCTGCCCTCAAGGAGCTCACAATCTAACGGGGGAGACAGCTGCACACCACAATGGGTGTAGGAGATCTGTAATGTGTGGATGGTAGGTGATCTCAGGGGGAAGGCGCCAGCAATGGGACAGGCCAGGAAAGGCCTCACACAGAAGGTGGCATCTGAGCTTACTCTCAAAGGAAGCCAGGGAAGGCCAGAGGCAGAGGTGAGCGAAGAAGTCATTACAGAACTAGAGATCAGCTGGAGAAGAAGGTCCTGTGTAAGGAACGCAAGAAGGCCTGTGTTGCTGCATTGCAGAGCATGGGGAGGATAAAGAGTAAGAAGCCTGCAAAGGTTGTGAGGGGCTTTAAAAGCCAGCCAGGATTTTATGTCTGATTCTAGCAGTAATAGGGAGCCATTGAGGGTTATTGAGTAGGGTAATGCCACGGTCAGACTCATGCTTTAGGAAGATCACTGAATGGAGGACATAGCAGAGTAGGGAGACATTGGAGTGAGGGAGACCAGCTAGGGGGCTTTTGCAAGAGTCCAGGCATTAATGAAATCTGTTGCTAAGGGGAAAATGACAAAATTTGCTAACAGATCATATAGATGGGATGAGTACAAGAGAGGAATCTAGGAAAACACCACGATTTGGATGAGTGGAAAAATAGACTGCAGCAGTGATGGGATGTTTAGAAGAGGAGTGAGCTTGGTGTGTGTGTGGGGGGGGGGTGTTGATGAGTTCTGATTGAGGCTGGTTATGCTTGAGATGCCCACAGTATATCCAATTTGAAATATTCAAAAGGTAGTTGGAGATGCAACATTAGAGGTCAGGAGAGAGGTTAGGGCTAGGGTTGTAGACGTGAAAGCTGAAACCCCCCCAGATCCTCAAAGAGGTCAAGGAGTCTGGGAGGTCAAGAGTGAGTGAAACAAAAAGGATTGAAAAATACTTGTGGAACTGAACTAGGGCTGTTACTTAGGCTCCCACATATGTCACGCCCTTCCATGACGTGGCTGCTTCACATCTCTTTCCTTTCTATGATGTGGAGGACTTGGAAACCAAGGCAGGCTTATCTTTGACTTGGACGGAAGGTTCAGGGCAGAAGAGAGCAATAAGGGATGGCAGACAAGGCTTGGGAGGCTGGGGAGAAGGGCAGGAAGGAAGGGAAGGTGGAGTTCAGGGGCTGTCACTGGCTTCAGGCTGAGTTTGCATGTAGGTGAGTTTTACATACAGGGGAAGTAAGATCTGAGCACAGACCACAGCACCTTTCTCCATTTGCCTACCAGGTAATCCCACATTCTTTGATCCAGGGAGGAAGGGGTCATGTACCCATTCAAACACATGGAGATGTTCTGGCTCTGGGTTCATTTGCATCCCCATGGACATTCTCTTTTCCGGGACAGAAATGACTAGAGACTGAGAACTACCATTGAATTATCTTACCATCTCTCCAGAGTTACCATCAGTGTCCTCAGATGCGCGTATTTCTCCATGGTGATTGGCACCTCTGCTCCCACTTCCCATTGTCTCCATGAGTTGCTCCCACAACTCTAATGACTCAACCACTATGAATATAGAATCAGGTCTAGATAACTCACCCAGAATCTGGAATGAATCCTCAAATGTTCTTGAGGGTGGCACCTACCACCACCTCTTCCCTCGGCTAACGCGCTCATCTCTTCCACACAGTCACATCACAAACCAAACACTAACCTTCCATCTTTTGGAACGCTCAGACGCTATAGTTCATAGCAGACACCCACATACTGGCTTCCTTACACACCTGCTTCATCAATTACCAGCATCAGGATAACGTTCTAGCACCTTTACAGTCCAGAAGCAATCAATAATTGTGGACAACAGTGTGTCTCTTTCATCTTCCATGCAAAGCTATCTGCCTTTCAAGGTGGCTGTTCCCATAGTCTAATAACAAATGTCAGAGCATTCAATCTCTAGTGATGGAAGTTCATGAGCTTGAATGGGAGGGGCCCAAATGCCTGGCTCCCCTCTCACAGTAAGGAGTAACATCTTTTTTTGTTTGTTTCTTTGTTTGTTTTTTTGCTAGGCAATGGAGTTAAGTGACTTGCCCAGGGTCACACAGCTAATAAGTATCAAGCGCCTGAGACTGGATTAGCACTCAGGTGTTCCTGACCAGTGCTCTGTCCACTATGCCATCTAGCTGCCCCAAGAGCAACATCTTTTATCTTACAGATTCTCCTGCCTTAACACAAAGCAGCAATACTTTTGCCATCAACTGCTCTGGGTTTGATGAACGTGGACTGAACCAAACTGCTTTTCAGTCGGTGTTTGACAGAAAGGCCTTCCGACCAGTTGTCAACATCAGTATACCCACCAGGGTCAACATCTCCTTCACCTTATCCGCCATTCTGGAGGTGGTGAGTCTGGCTATGGGCCCAGAACACAGCACTCAAACCTAACTTCTCTCTTGCCCCTTCATCCAAAATTAGTCTGATCCAATGTTGAGCATTGACCTAGGAGGTCCCACTCTATTGGAGGGATTTTTCTGAAACTTAGGGAAGAGATAATCTAAGGTGACATTTCTATAGTAAATGAAATTTTTCTCTATTTGGACAGGTCGGAAATCCTCCACCAGTCCCCCATACCCCATGGTCAGCCTACTCTTTCTAACTCTCCATCTCTTTCCTATGACTTCCTTGTTTGGACCTACATTTTTTCTCCTGGTTAATCATTAAAAATCAGAATTTTCCCAAAGATAACCTGGGATGGGCATGGGAAAGGATGGCTGGATCTGATTACTGGCCTAATAATACTGGGTGGGAATCTCTTTTGTCAGGATGCACGGATTCAGCTCCTCACGTCATTCATCTGGCTTGAGTTGGTAAGATCCCTTCCCTTCCCATGGCCCCCTCTCTTCTCAATTTCTTTTGCTTTTTCTGATCAAATCACATTTTCTGTAGTTATTAGTGCCCTAAAAATTAGACAAGTCTGCTCAGGCCTGAGGCCACACGGTTTCTGGACAGCTAGGAAGGCAGTGATAGAAGCCTCGGAGGGAGGGCAGTATCATCGTAATGGCAGAAACCCCCAAAGTGAGAATAATCTCTTAGCTCTGGAGCCTCATGCTAAGATGAAGCTCACATATAATATATAATACATTGAGGATCATTATGATAAAGGCCATTGAAGGATCAATGGAAGGTAGATAAGATCACATTAGAGAAAGTGAATCATGAAGAATAGGAGTGAGGGGAAGGGAGCAGAGGCTTAGTGGAAAGAATTCTGAGCTAGGAGTCAACAGCCTGGCTTTCTAGACCCAACTCTGACAATAATTCAAGGCGTGGCCTTGGACAGATCACTTAACCTTTCTCAAGCTCAGGTTCTTCCTCTTTAAACATGAGGGAGTTAGACTAGATGGTTCCCAAGGTCCTGTTGGACTAGAGGGACTTGATGATTTCTAAGGTCCTGTCCATCCCTTAAAATTCTGTGATCCTAATTGTAAGTGTATAGAGCAGAGGAAAAGGGAGAAGCTACTTTCTCAGACTAACCCTAGGCTCCGGTCACTCCTCAATGTCTGTTTCTACATTGCTTGGTCTTCTAGTTTTGGGACAACCCATTCATCAGCTGGAACCCAGAGGAGTGTGGAGGAATCAAGGAGCTCACCGTGGCAGCTGATAACCTCTGGCTTCCAGACATCTTCATTGTAGAGTTGTGAGTACCAGAGCTGGGGAGAACAGGAAGGAAACTATCCCCAGGCAAATCATCTTATCCAAGGGTAGGGAAAAACCAACATATTGGGGCAATGATGAAACTCTACACATACACAAGAGGGTAACTTATGGTGAGCTCACTTCTACGAAACCTAGCCTAGAACAGTTGAGTATTGGGGAGATAAAAGAGAGTCACTGGCAGAGATGGGGACCACTGGAGTGGGATTAGTTAGCCTCAGAGGAATTGGAGAAGAAAGCTCCATTGGCTACTTTATTCATACAGCATGGACATTGATCGGACCCCATCAGGTCTTGTTGCAAATGTGAATAGTAAAGGTCACATCAAGTATAAGAAACCAATGAAGGTGAACAGCATCTGTAGCCTGGACATCTTCTATTTCCCCTTTGATCAGCAGAACTGCACTCTGACCTTCTCCTCTTTACTCTACACAGGTAAGCTAGAGTCTGAGTGGTCATCTGAATCAAGGTGACCAGTGGAGGAACTGAGAGGGATGAATGTATGAATGAATGAATGAATGAAGAAGCATTCATTAAGCACTATCTATTTGCCAAGCACTTTGCTCAGCGCTAGGGATACAAATATAAGAGCAAAGACAGTACTTGCCCCCAATGATTTTATATTTTCATGAGGGAGACCACCCATATAGGGAGTGGTAGACAGCAAGGAGTATTTTGGACAGATTCAATGACAAATGTTACCCACCTCTTGATTAAAAAGTGATGGACTCTAGGTTCAGATTAAGATCTATTCTTTTGGACATGGCCAAGGTGGGAATTTCTTTAGCTATGCTATTCGTATTTATTATATGAGTTGTTTTTCTTGTTTTCTTTGTGTGTTTATGGGGGGGGCGGGAATAGGAGGAAGAGAAAGTACTTAACTAACCACCAAGTTAGTTAAGTGAAAAAAAAATTTAATTTTTAAAAATTCCAGTTGACAAAACCTCAGGCAAAGGTTTAGTGGATTGGGTGGGGGAGAGGGTGGTGGTGGTGGAGGGATTTAGACAGAGGGAGAGCAAAGAAGATGAAGGGTTTTCCAGTTTCCTGCTTGAGGAGAGAAAAGAAGGGAGAAGCTAGCCCAGAGAGAAGTGACGATATGAGAAACTGAATGAGTCGGCTCTCCTCTGCAGTGAACGACATGTTGTTGGGCATGGAAAAAGAAGTGTGGGAGATAGCAGACACCTCACGCCATCTCATCCAGACCCAAGGGGAGTGGCAGTTGCTGAGCATCAACAAAGCAACCCCAAAGTTGACAGTGAGATCCAGCCTTTATGACCAGATCACGTTCTATGTGAGCTTGGAGGATCCAACTTTGGAATCTTACAAACACCCAACCCCACCCTTGCCAGACATCTTCATCAAACCCACACCACTTCAATCACTCAGTCAATCCACAAGTATATATTAAACAACCACCATGTGCCTGGCACTGTGCTAAGTGCTGGGGATACAAAGACAACAGTGAAACATTCCTTGCCCTCAAGGAGCTTATAGTCTAACCAGCCACTCAAGTCCCAAAAGTCTTTGATCAGGATTTCTTATTGCTTCATGCCTAGGACCAGCTTCCCCTCCCATCAACGGCATCTCAGTGCTGCCCTACCCTCGAACACCAAATTATCCCCTCCCCCAGGTCCACTACGCATAGCCTGAATCCCTTGGGCACATGTAGACAGCTTCTGGGGACTGGTTGTGTCCCATTCGGTTTGGGGCAATATTCTCATTGGGTTCTGGTCAAAAAGGAGGGTAGTCTGTAGAATAATCATTGTTCTTCATATCAAGAGCAGTTTCCTCTTTATTCCCGGTTTTCTCCTTCTCCCTTTCCTCCTCTAGGTGGCCATCCAGCGACGGCCAAGACTCTATGTCATAAACCTTCTGGTGCCCAGTGGATTTCTGATAGCAATCGACGCTCTAAGCTTCTTCCTGCCAATCGAGAGTGACAACCGAGCCCCTTTCAAGATGACCCTGCTGCTGGGCTATACTGTCTTCCTGCTCATGATGAATGATTTATTGCCAGTCAGTGGCACCCCACTCATCGGTATGGCTCCCTCCACTGTGGGGAAGGAGAGAAGTGGGAGGGTCTGGGGGGCAAGAGATCCTGGGAAAGAATATTATGACAGGATTAGGGTTGGGATTGGGGAAAGAGGCCACAGGAGGAGGTGGAAGTCACTCTGGCCCTTCCTCGCTGAGCCCCCTCCCCACATGACCCACAGGTGTGTACTTTGCTCTGTGCCTGTCCCTGATGGTGGTCAGCCTGCTGGAGGCTATCTTCCTCACCTACCTTCTGAATCTGGTTACTACACAGCCACCACCCATGCCCCACTGGCTCCATTCACTGCTGCGGTGCTACCTCAGAGCAACGGACTTCTCTAAGAGGTCCCAAAAGGAGAATGGAAGTCCTGACCCCAGCCTCATCCATCTACCTGGTAAGTGCCATCAGCACCACCCCGTCTCTCTTGTTCCAAACTCCTAATCCTTCTACTTTCCCATTCCCAGTGATGGTCCTCCTAATTATGGTGTCCATTTCCAATGTTAGGCTAAGTTCTCATCTTCTCTACAGGTCTGAAGGAGCCAGGGGTGAAGGCAGGTCCAGGTAAGGCTTGGTTGAATGGAGACCCACACTCTACATGGGCACAGCTAGAACAGCAGCAGAAAGTTGACATTTGGGTGAAATTCAGCCTTGTTCTAGACACTCTGCTCTTCTGCATCTATTTGATATTCGTGACTTCCTCTCTCATCACAGTCATTATCCTTTGGAGCAACTAGAAATATGGCCCCCACCACCAGCCCTTGCCAACACTGGCTTTGAACTCTCCCTGACTTTGTGGATTGCCAGAACTCATCCTCTTACCCGAGCTCCAGCGACTTCCCACATCCCTGCTGCAGGGGACGCAACTTCATCTGTTCCTTCCAGCCAGCTTCAGCTCCACCCCATCTCCCACAAACCCAGTGTCCTTCCTTCTGACTTCCTATGTGACCTTCCTTCAGCCCAATGATTCAGCTCAGACCCAAGCCTCAGCTGCCCTGTAATTGAATTGACCTAATTAATTCTTTTGCAGGGAATATTTGCTCCTTGGGATAATACATTACTGCTAGAGACAATTCTTGGATCCAGTCAAAGCTGAGTTGTTCCACGCAGATAAGAATCAACTGGTTTTTTTTTTAAAGACTCCTAGCATCTATTTGTGACTTAAAAATAGAATTTTAATTGTAAAAATGGATTTTAAATAAATTACCCCAAAATATCAACAAAAATAGTTGCTTCTTATACTGAAGCAAGGAAAAGAAATGGAATCCCATGTTATTGCTTTTTTAAAAAATTTCTAAAAATGATTTCTTCAACTTGAATCAATCTGTGGCCTAATTGATGTGACTCTTCCCTCCCTGATACAGATTATGGCCCATCAATTTCTCCTCATTCTGCAAAATCCTTGCCAATGTCCTTCCATAAAGCCTTCATGGAGAATCTCTCTAACAAGGTGGAGACCTTCTCTTTGGACATTGACTCCCAATGTATGTGAGCCAGAGAACCCTGAGGGGCCATAGAGTTATCTCCAAAGGGTAGCTCTCCAGTTATATACTTTCTCAATCAGTGAAAACTTAACTGTCTAACTCTAACTATTGTCATGAAGGGGTCTTGGAAAATTTTCTTTTCTTATCAAAGTAGGATCTTCATAAAAGTGGCGAAAGATGGAACCTTCAATATCAGAGGAAGAAATAGACACATTCACACATTATTAGTGGAACTGTCCATTGGGCCACCATTTCTGGAATACAACTGGGAATTAGGCAACTAAATTGTTTGTGCCCTTTGATCCAGCAATTGCAAAAAAGAAAAGAACTATACGTATCAAAATATTCATAGCAAGAAATGATTTGTAATTTTTCCTAGTTTTGCAAAAAGCTAGAAACAACAGTTTCCTCAATTATAAATTGGGGGCAATAGCACCTACCTCCCTGGGTTGTTGTGAAGATAAAATGAGACACTATTTGTAAGGTACCTGACACACAGTAGGTGCTATATCAATGCTAGCTGTTATTCTTTTTTTTTTTTCTCCTTTGTTCTAGGGGATGACCTCTGGGAGGGGCAAAGGGAGAAACACATTAGGAAATGAAGATGATATAAAAACAAAAGGCATGAATAATAATTTAAAAATAAAGAAGCTGAATGAAGGGTGAAAGGGCGGAACTTCAGATTTGGAAACTCAAACTTTACTAGGAATAGTATGCTTAGCCCATGTTGCAGTGAAGTGTTCCTGATCCTTGATGACAGGGACTGTCTTCTGTCTTTTTTTGTATCCCCAACACTTAACACAATGTCTGGCACATAGTAGATGCTTAATAAATGTTAATGGATTGATTATAATTTGCTTTGGATTTTCTTATACTCTATGCATTTAGCCTATATACCAAGAGGGTGAGTTCTTTGGAGTTAGGCTGAGAAGACAAGTAAGCCTGGGACTCCAAGGGGGTGAGAGCACATGAGCCAAAAGGGTTGGGAATTATTTGGGGAAACGATCTTTCCCCCTGGACTTTAAACACAGAACTCAGGGGACTAGGGAAAGGTTGGGGCAGGCACCTGCCCAATTTGAAATCCAGGAGCATCGCTCAAGCTTTGAATGCCATCTGGTGGACTGCACAGATTTAGCACTCCACAGGGGCTGCTCCAAGCTGCTTGGCATCCCCTCTGTTCCTGGGGACTGCTTAGTGTGGCTCATGAAGAGACATGGATTGCATGTTTCTTCAACCTTGAACCCTGCTGGACAATTCTTTTCGTGGCTGTGTCATCATGTTGTCATGTTCTGTATGATGAAAAGAGTAGTATCAAATCCGACGCACCCTTGACTGACGCAGGAGTACCTCAGTCACCAATGAGATTATAACGGCTATAGCCAGAAGACCAGACCTGAGAGTCTGCAGAACACATCCACATTCCTACAAAAAATGGACCTCCCATCAGAGCCCGACCAACAGAATAGGAGAAGGCACCCCCTAATAGGAGGGCAGGTACTGTGAGTTAATCTCTAAACTTGGATTTTATCTCAGTCTGGGACAGAATCCCCTTTAATTCTTTGATCTTTCCACCTCAGCTACCTACCTTCCCACACCCATTGGGTTGTGTAAAGCAGACCAGAGAGCAAATAGCTTGAATCCCAAGGTCAGAGTTCACCAGCCCAACTTAGCTGTGCTGATTTTACGCATTTGTCTTCCCTGGATTTGACCTCTTTCCTGGCAGAGTCCATCCCCACAAACAAGGAAATGTTTATAGCTGAATGAGTAGTATAGAAGTGACCCTCTCATTAGGATCCCCATTGCAGGGACATCAAAGTTGGGTCCTAGCCCAGGAGAACATAAATGGAGTCCTCTTTTTCAAAGACTGGGAAAGGGGCTCTGTCGAGGTGAAGTTGGTCTGAATAGGTTGCTGCTCAATGTCTACAGTCTGTAGAGGACCCTTTGTACATTTCTCATGTGTCCTATGAAGTCCCAAAGAAAGATCAAGATGTTCTCTGAGGAGATGATAACATTCTGATCTGAGAGAGCCACCAGGCTATTGTTCACAAAGTGTGAGAATATTATGAGGCCACTGGCCAGGCCAAAGGATATCATTTGGTTCTGGTAATGGTTGTAACCATTGTTCTTTCCCATCCACACCAGGTTATACATTCCCTAGTTGGGTAGAGATCTTGCTATTCTATATCCTCCCACAAGACCCCAGTTCAGAACATGCAACAAGTACCATCTTGGAGCCATAGCTATATTCAAGCCCCTATAATCCAGGCAGGTCCTCAACTCCTTTCTTTGGAGTGGGGAGAGATGGAACATAAAAACCAAATAAGATATAAATGCATCCCACGAAGATGAGGAGGAGAAAATAATCCTGTCCTGAGCTGTGGCATCTAACAACCAGGTTCCCTATTCTTTCTCATTGAATGCACTCATGAGGAGGCTGTCTCTAGGAGTGGCCAGACAGGACAGTCATGTTGCTAGGGCAGCAGAGGATGGTTGGTTCCATAGTTGCTTCCTAGAGATTGTACTCCATGAGAACAGTTAGCAGACATGGTAGAGCAAACAGTGTCACAACACTGTACCCCACACTGAGGCATGTCTGTACCTATGAGGGGGCTCCAGGATAGCCTGGCAATATGCCAGGGATCTGCAGGAGTCAGTGGGGGCTGCCATGAGGCAAAGAGGAGGAGAGCCTTTTCCTCTTTCTCTAGCTGTAGTGTTGGGGCAGGGAGGAGAGGGCCGGGGGCGACGAAGGATTGCACTCTTTTAATAATGGCTTCTGGGTATTCTGCGGGAAGAACCCAGACCAGGCTATCTCAGGTTTCCCTTGGGAATAGTAAATGTTTGGATTCATCTTGCTAGGCTAGCTGTCCCATATACCAAGAGCAGCAACAGAACTGCATAGAAATCTCAATACGATATCTGTGATTATTCAGACTGGGATAGAGGTAAGAATCTTAATGGAAAATCAGATATTGGCTATATTTGGAGATTTCTTTGGACTTTTAAGGCAGGGTAGGAATGAGGTACAAGCCAGATTTGTGATAGATCTATGAAATATTATTTGAGAATGATTTCTAAAAATACTTTAAATCTGGGACTGAGTCTAGAGAAACCTTGGTTAAAGTGGGGGCAGGAGTATTTGATGCAGTCGAGAGAACATCCCAAGTATTCTGAAGGACAAGACTGGGACAAGCTCTTGCTTCATTTCATCAGGGTCTGTCCTCTTGCAGAACTGGCTCAGTCCTCACCATTTTTTGGTCTGATCAAGACATTCTTTATGTCTTACACCTGTAAGAAAAGGGAACAATCATGAACACACTAAATGGAGCCAAAGCCCACCAAAAATCTGAACTTTAATAATCTTTTAGACTGGGCTGGGGAACCATAAGACAAATAGAGGGGTGTAGTACCAAGCTGGAAGGCAGAATCTCAGAATTTTAAAGTTGGGAGGGACGTTGGCTTGGACATGCAGTCCAACCACAGCTGAAAGGACCCCCATTGTAACCTACCTAACCAGCGGTCAGCCAGCCTCTAACTTACTCACCCTTGCAGTGCTGAAGGTGAGCGTCTTGGTGGGGTTCGCTAAGAAATCATACTCCTCCCTCCCCCAAGGCCAAAGCAGGGCAGCTGGATCTGGACCACCAGACAAGCTGGTCCACAAAACTCACACCGACCCAAAACACGAAACGGGATGTTACACACAAGAAAAACGACCGACAGTTCTCCCAGGGTATTTATTATAGCCCCAAAACATTCTGAACACTACAAAAAGTATCAGAAGGAGCTTCATGTTGTCACAATAGACAAACCTCCCATGTGGTGACCATAATCAGAATCAGAGGGCCTTTCTATCATATAGGCCCTTGCTACAGCAGAGGTGATTCCATCCCTAATCAGTTCTGTCTACCTGTTCTGGATAGCAGCTTGGGCTGGTCTTCTATGACTTTCTCTCTGTCTGTCACACACACACACACACACACACACACACACACACACACACACACA